CAGCGCTCGGCCCCCTAGCCCATCCTAGCCGCAGCGCTCGGCCCAGAAAGTGTCTTAACCTAACCCTAAATAATGCTAAATAAATACTAATTTGGTCATGTACAAAATTGATGGGGGGGGGGGGGGGCCTGGGGAGGGGTCCAAAAACCGTTCAGGACAGACCCTATTTTAATAAAGCGTACATAACACAGCCTAGTGTGCATAGATATTTTAATAAATCTTACATAACACAGCCTAGTGTACATAAATAATATTATAATAAAGCGTAATTAACACAGCCTAGAGTCCATGGCATACATTTTTTGATAGAGTTAATATTTTGATAACCGACTGAAAATTCAAGATTCAAATTTTAAAAACTGACTTTTTTAATAGATTCATATTTTGAAACCAATTTTTCAATTCAAAATCCTACTTTAAAAAATAACTGTCAAACTAAAATCACATATTCAACCCCGATCGCAAACTTGAAACCACATTTTAAAAACCACCAGACAACTAAAAATCAAATTTTGAAAACCGACCGTCAATTATAAATCACATTTTGAAAGCCAACTTCGAAAGAATATTTACCTAAAGCCCAGACATCAGCAGGAAATCCGTGTCCTTCCTTATTAAGCACCTCAGGAGATATGTAGTTTGGGGTTCCACAAATGGTCCTGAATATCCCAAAGTAAAATAAAAGTAGATTTCAAACATCCGTCAAGGTATTTTATGAATTTATCGAGTTTCCACCCAGTCGGCTAAAATTTCATTAAGCTTTACTAGAAGTTCATTAAAGATTAACTGAATAATTTCATCAAACGTAAAAAGAATTTCATCAAACTTAAAAAGAATTTCATCAAACTTAAAAAGAATTTCATCAAACTTTAATAGAACTCAATCAAAATTTAATAAAATTTAATCAAAAGTTACGGAATTTCATCAAAATTTAATAGAATTCAATCAAAATTTAATAGAATTTCAACAAACTTTGATAAAATTTCATCAAACTTTTAGAAATGACTTTTAAAATGTCAATTTTATGAACAGAACCAATAAAAGAGATAGCTACAAAAAAATTCTATGACTCGATAACTTACCCTTTCTTCTCCTGACCGACCCGTGTCGCGAGCCCGAAGTCACCGATCTTGACTCCCATAGATCCCGTCAGGAAGAGATTACCCAACTTCAAGTCACGGTGGATTATATTCTGGGAGTGGATATACTCGACACCAGACACTAGATAGATAGATAGATAGATAGATAGATAGATAGATACCTGTAAGGCTACTTATTGATATATTTTGTTATTGATCCCGACAATAATAACAGATTTAAGAAAATTCTTTTTTTTAAACTTTTTTAAAATAAAATTTTATCAATAAAAAATCAAGCAAAATAAAAGATCAAAAAAATCAATAAATCGCTTAAACAAACCATCAATTAATCAATCGATCAAACCACAAATTGATTAATTAAAAAGCCACAGGATAATCAATCAATCAACCAATGAATGCCTGCCTGCCTACCTAGTTCGTCCATGTAGTATCTCGTCTCTGGTTCGGTGACGACGTGTCTGCTCTTGAGGACATGGACGAGGGACTTCTTGGAGCAGTTCTCCAGAAGGATGTATATGTTATCCGAGTCCTCGAAATTTTTCATGAACTGAACTACATTCTTGTGCAATAAATTCCTAGAGAAAAATATTATTAATAATAATAATAATGTTACCTATGAAGCTCTATTTCTCTAGTAATTTTATCTTTATGATGAGGTTTGGTGATTCTAGATTTGTGAATAATTTTGCCAGCGTAGAGACTATTGTTGCTGAGATCTATCAGTTCATGTACACGCGCAAACCCACCCTAAAAAGATATATAAAAAGATTGACTGACAGATAGATAGAAAGATAGATAGATAGATAGATAGATAGATAGATAGATAGATAGATTGATAGGCAGTTGCCTGAAGAAGTTAAGTTAGGCCAAGACACTTTCTGGGCAAAGCGCTGCGGCTAGAATAGGCTAGGGGGCAGAGCGCCGCGGCTATGAGCAAGGGGGCTTGCATAATTGATAGATAGATTTATATGTAAACAAATTAATCAAAATTGAAGATTATAAAGATAGATAGATAAAAAATGTAAACAAATAAATAGACAGCTGTTAAATTCTGTACAGATTGATAAGCTATGTTATTACTATTCAGATTGGCTTTAGAGTATGAAATTAACTAGAGACGAGAGAGCTTTCTATAAAATTTTATATTTTAGTTCACAAATGTAAAAAGAAAATTATACTTTAAAACTTAGGAAAAGTCCTAATTTTTCTAAAACGCCAGTATATTTCTCTTCAGTATCAATCAAATCGAGAAAGATGAAAATTTATAATTTTCAAGTAAAATATTTCCCTCCCCCCCTGGGCGATTTTTGCCCCCACCTGGCCTTAAAAAAGCTATTATTCTATATCAAGTCTACTACATGTCCCCTGTTTAGCCCATTGTTGTCCCAATTCAAGGACTATATATTATAATGTATCACTCTGTATAGTTCTGTATTACTCTCTGAAGTCCTGAGTAGTCTCCTGAGACTAATCCCCTTTGTAGTCCACTGTAGTCCCAATTCAAGGACTAAATATTATAATGTATCCCTCTGTATGTTTCTGTATTACTCTCTGAAGTCCTGAGTAGTCTCCTAAAGACTATCATTAGTCCTCCGTCAACTTTATTCTCCCTTAATCCTCTCCTAATGTAATCTCTTCTCTGACCTTTATGGTAGTTGCGGGAAGACATGCCAAATAATGCATAATGCATAAAGCTATTATTGTTTATCAAAAAGGGGGGAGGAGGAGCTTTCACATATAAGGGAAAAACTAAGATAAAATTTAGAAATAAATGGCGCGCAGCGCCTGAAAATGTTCAACTACTTTTTAAGGGTGAAAACACCCATTTCAAGATGAGGGAAAGCATATTTTTTACCCACCACACCTGATTTTAACCATTGCTAATAAATCCCAGGGTGGGACAGGGCACCCCCTGGGATGCCCAGGGGGGGGGGACAGGACTACTGCCCTGCGCCTGCATAGGTAGAGATGATTTTAAAAATATCTATTTTGATTGCTAAGAAAATTGAATTAAACCATCATCATTATTAATTAAAAGAACTTTAGAACATCAATGAAATAAAAATCATATTAAAATACATCATTCACTTATTTAAAAGTGTTTCAATCTACATATACAAGCATCTTTACTATTTGAAAATTGTCTCAGGAATAACATTTTGATTTTAGACAAATATAACGAATTTTTATTTTTTAAGGCAAGGACGAAAAAAACGGTTCAGGTGTACTTTGTAAAATAAAGCACTACTATACACCTCATAAAATGCAGTAAAAGGGAGGGTTATTGGCGGGGAGAGGGGGGGNGTGGAATAGAGGGGACAGTTTAAGGAGGGTTGAGAGAGGTAGAGTCAAACTGCATATTTTAAGCATATTTCAAGAATATAACGTAGTAAATAGGTGTGAGTTGTCACATGACCTATATTGACCTATAGTCAGCTACTATAAGATATCAGCTAGAAATATATCTTCTATATAATAAAGCTCTTTGCTCTAATACATATTACATCTGCTAAATCAGCGCAGTGAATTAATAAGCACAATGTCGGCATACAAGAAAATATCTATTATCATCGATTTAGCAAAATGTGATCATGTCTTCATACGTATCTAATAATTTGTATATTGCAGTTAAGTGCTATATTTTTTTTAAAAGGAAAATGATTGCAAAGAAATAAATGTTTATATTTTTTTTTTAAATATGTAATATGTGCTGAAAAAATCTTTGAATTTTAGTTGTTCAAACAATTTTGACTTCTGAGGTATGTTAGCTATAACTGGCCAAACGGCTGGACCAAATTGGCTGAAATTTTATTCCACGGGCAACACCGGGCACTTCAGCTAGTGACCCATATTGACCTGAGGTCAGCTACATGACCTTTATGGACCTAGTCCTACAGTCAGCTTCTGTGAGCCCCCCCCCCCCTCCAAATATGCACAATTCGTTTACGCTTTGCACGCGTGAAGTTTTTCTCATCGGACCTCAATTTAACTAATTAAACTAGTGGAGGGGGGGAAGGGTGAAGACCCCCCGGGTATGAGCTACCCCCACTAGAAAATATATCTTATCTTTACTTGCATCCCCCCCCCTACCATGTTGTCTAGGTTCTTAAATATTCTTTTCTTGAACTCTTTCTCTCTTACTGATAAATCCCTTTTTTTACTTTTAAACTTCTTTCTTTTTCATGTTTTTTAAGTTTTTAAGTTTTTATGTTTTTTCCGTATTTCTCCTCTTTATCCGTATCTCTTTTTAATTTTTCCTCGTTGTTTTAAGACTTTTCCGTCATTTCTCTATATTTCTGCTCAGCTCTCAATGATAATTAAAATTGAATTAAGAAAATAAAATGTAACAATCGGATCTCTTAAAAATGACTGAAAACGTACGTGATATCAATTAAAATGCCGGAATCAAACAACTTAAACCCTTTAAAAATTCGGTAATGGTGAGAGGGCAGTAGAAAAAGTGTATATGTTAGTTCCACATTTATTGAAAATATATTTCGGTCTGGGTTGACCCTCGTCAGTTCTTGAGACCCTTAAGTAAGCAGATATCATCGTCGTTCTATTTTAACTCTTTGATTTATGACAATTTCTCACTTTTTAAAAAGACCCATGGTTAAATAAGATGGTAAAACAAACACATCTTTGTTATCTTTGCTCAAAGGTTTGAAAGTTAATCACTTAACATGTCTTACACCGTTCTTCAAAAAAATTGTAAAGTCATTTTGTAGTTTAATTTTGTTGTATTTATTATTGTCCATCCTGTGTATATCTCTAGATGCAGAAATGTACTAGTTCTGCACACATCTCCCCTATTTGCAAACAAATCTTTTGCAATTTTTTATATTTATATCATTCTGCAAATCTGATGGCTTAATTTTTTTTTTGGCCTGGCTTGTTTAGGTCTAATTCATAAACCATTAATTTTTTGATTTTTTTTCTATTAAAAAAAATGACACAAATCACGTTGTTATAGCAATATAAATATTAATTTTAAATACATGAATCCTAACCCCCCACCCTAACCGGTCCCTCCCCCTCCCTTCCCTCCAACTAATTCATTCATTCATAATTTCCTAGTTGCAACACCCTCTGTCTATTTTATTCAAATCTTAAACAGGTGAGATTCCATTCTTATCCGTCACATAAATCAATACTTAGAATGTAAATAAGGAAGAGGTGAACGTAGGGGATGGGGGGAGGAAGGAAGGTAGAAAAGGAGGGGTTGATGGTGGGGAGGGTAGGGGGAGGGGGAGTGAGAAGGGTATTTTTGACGTCCAACGATGGTTGCAAACATGTCAAAAACCCATAAAAATCAAAGTAAAAAAACAGTCCCAGAGGGGAGAGGTGGGTGATAATTCTTATAGAAAAAAAATGAAAAAAGTAAAAATTTTAAAGAGATAATCTAGTAGCTCATTTGAAGATCAAAATCATACGAATAATCTTTGTCCAAATGACTTTAGAAAAAAATAAGAATAGCAGAGAGAAATAAAAATACCTCTTGAATAAATAATCCAATTGAACAAAGAATTCCTCCAGGGGCTTTCTTAGAAATTTGTTTAGGGAACTCGAGGGCTTAAATTTTTTTTCTTTGCAGAGTGGGGGGCACAGCACTCTTCGGGTCGAAAAACCCCCTGGAAACCTATTAGATTTTACTGACCCGGGGAGGCTAGGCCCCCATAGCCCCCCCTCCTGGATACGCCTCTGAATTCCTCCCTTTGAATAACTCTTGAAAGTGAGAGAAGGTTTTGAAATTCAGCTTGAAATCTGAATACTTGTCCACAACAGGGGGGGAAGGTGGGGGGGTGGAAGGGGTTCACACAGGTCGGGCTCGCAAGCGCGAAGAGGAAGGGGGGGGGTGTAAATGGGTTGTAAGGATTAGTGCCGCTTCTTTCTAAACACTCTGCCAGTGGGCCCTGGAGTTCCAAAAGTTCTCAAACAAAAATATAAATCTTGGTGCAAAACACATGAAAATTCAGAGATCATAAAAAAGGCTAAAAATAATCAAAATTTGTTAGTGAAATCCAGGGCCCCAACTTGACCCATTTATAGGGGTTGGAGGGTGTTTGTTGCTCAAGAATCAAGATTTGAGAGTTCCAGGGCCCAATAATCAAGGATCGAAGGGATCCGGGCCCATATAATGATGAGTTGGGGTTTGCAGGGCTAAAAAATCAAGGATTTGAGAGTTCAGGGCCCGAAAATTAATGGTTTGAAGGTCCATGGCCAAAAATTCTAGGAATTCAGGGTCCATGGCCCAAAATATCAAGGGTTTGAGGGTCAAGGGCCCAAAATATCAAGGGTTTGAGGGTCCACAGTTAGAAAATGAAGAGGTTAAAGAGATCCCGGGGACCCAGTCCAAAGAATCCCCTGGCTGGCTCCTGATTGTTGAGATGATACCATGTAAAGTAAATAGACAAGTAAGCTGAGATCCAGGGTAGATTAATAGGATAGGGTCAGGGGGCACAGTTTAAGAAGATGAGAGGATATATGGGAGATCATACGAAATGGAAAAAATGGGGGGGGGATGGCACAAATAAAGAAGTTAAGATATTTAAAAGAGAAAGAAAGAAAGAATAAAAAAGGATTGAAAAGAAAGCAAACATTTAGATATTTGCAAGTTATTAGAAGACAAAGCGCTTTGTTCGTAACCCCATTTTATTCCTCCATACATTTTTAAAAAAATGTTTTGTCATGTAGAATATTGATGTTTGACTGTAAATTGAAGAAAAAAACGGAAAGATAGGCGAGACTCGTTGAACTGTGAAATATAACATGTTATTGATGAAGTTACATTACAAAGCAAATTGTTTTACTCGTAGCTTAAAAATAACACTTTAGTCGTAATTTAAAGCAAATGCATGTCGATTTCACAACGGCTTCCTTGAAACCTTTTATCTAAGGATAATAAGTGTTTAATTCTGGTAATTCTTTGTTTTCCTGCAGCAAAATGCTCAAGTTTTTAACATTATGAAGACAAATGTCTTATTTCAATTTTGATTAGAAAAAACGTTCAAGGGTGCCATTATTAATCGAACGTGACCCTTTAAAAATAAAGGGTCACTTTCTTCAAATTACGCCGACGGACGGACGGTCCCTTTAGGAGATAAAATTTTCCCGTATTACTTAGAAGATAAAAATCTGTAATCCACTTAATATCATACTAGCTTTATGTTATTGCTTTATAATTCTTAACTATTTGTATATATATAATATACATATATATATTTCTATCTATCTATTTATCCATCTATATATCTATTTAACTATCTATCTATCTATCTATCTATCTACCTACCTACCTACCAAGGTAGACAGGAAACGAAGTATTTTCTCAAGCCATGTCATGACTTGGATACTTGGATGAGGGGGGGGGGGAGAGATCAGGGGGGTATGTGTAAAGATATGATATAGCTTGATAGAGTTAATAAAAGAAATATGGAGATAAAAAACAAGTATACTTATATATGGGTAGAAATGTTTAAGGAGTGATATAAAAAAATAACAGAAAAGGGGTGCAGCAAAATAATTGGGGGAGGGGAGGGGGGTCAAATTTAATACAGGAAGGTTATTTAGAAAAACTTCACAGCTTAACCATGAAAAGAATAGAATAGAAGAGGGAATCTATAAAAAAAAACGTATTAAGGGCAAGAGTGGGGGGGGGAGAAAGAGGGGAGGGGAAGGGTAGGAGAAAAGGGGGTGTTGGGAAAGGGGAAGGGAAGGGTAGGAGAGAGAGGGGGGTGTTGGGAAAGGGGAAGGTGAAGTGAGATGAGTTTAATTAAATATTAAATGTTTTTGGTAAACTTCTTACATACTTTTACTCAACAATAGGATAATAGGTGGGAGGAGAGATAGATAGATAATTGGTTGATAAGCAGATAGATAGATAGATAGATAGTTGGTTCATAAACAGATAGATAGACAGATATACAGAGAGATAGATAGATAGATAGAAAGATAGATGCATAATATATAATTTTAGATAAATAATTTGAAAATATAGCTAGAAAGTTTAAAAACAAAAAAAAATAGCTAGACGATGTCTTAAGAAACACGAATTTAGAAACAAATAGATAGATAAAAGGATAGATATATAAATATATATCTAAGATAATTAGTTAAAATTCTTACCTTTCCTAGAAACCTTCCTCTTGCGTAGTTTTTACAATCATTGATATCTGTAATATATTTCGGGATATCATTCTCACTCTCACCAGACGTATTCAAACCATCCTAGATAATAATAATAATAATAAAAATAATAGTAATAACAATAATAATAATAATAATAATAATAATAATAATAATAATAATAACAATAATAATAATAATAATAATAATAACAATAACAATAACAATGACAATAACAATAACAATAATAATAATAGTAATAGTAATAGTAATAGTAATAGTAGTAGTAATAGTAATAGTAATAGTAATAGTAATAGTAATAGTAATAGTAATAGTAATAGTAATAGTAATAGTAATAGTAATAGTAATAGTAATAGTTAATAATAATAATAATAATAATAATATTAATAATAATAATAATAATAATAACTAAACTAGGTTAGCAGACAAAAGTACTCAATGAATCACAAAGCAAGAACTGTTAATATATTTATCTAACATATAATTGTTTATATATAGGTGAATAGATAAACAAATGTCACATGTAATATCAAATTACAAAATAAACAATTTAAACACACATGCTGGACCTTTTAGAGTTACACATATATCTGTAATTTGGAGCTACAAGCAGCGTATACCCTTTAAACCTTTGTCTTTAATAAGAGTTATAAAAAACTACTATTAGACTGCAGGGGAAGGTAGAATTTATGCAACATTGTGACCTCGTAGCTCCTCTAGTTTTAATTTTACGCAACAGTATGAAAAAGCTTATTTATTCGGTTAAAAATTAAATAAATTTTTTCCTTCTTAACAGCTCTTTAATAGAGGAGTTATGATTGGAAAAAAAAAAAAAATTTTTTACTTGTTATATAGATATTATAATTTAAAGAACTTTAGACCATGAATGTACACAATTATGAGTTACTGAGACTGTGAATCAAAAATACCATTAAACTTTTAACTACTTAAAAATCTAATTAAATATTAGAATAGAAGAGGGAATCTATAAAAAAAAACGTATTAAGGGCAGGAGTGGGGGGGGGAGAAAGAGGGGAGGGGAAGGGTAGGAGAAAAGGGGGTGTTGGGAAAGGGGAAGGGAAGGGTAGGAGAGAGAGGGGGGTGTTGTAACTACTTGAACTACATGAACTACTTGAACTACATGAACTACTTGAACTGCATGAACTACTTGAACATAGAAAATCCAAAAAATCTTTTTTCGATCTTCCTTCAAATGCAGGGAGAAATTTCAAATTGAAACATTTTTTCAATCTTCTTGCAAAAAAATCTTTTTCAAAAATTTGATTAAAAATCACAATTTACAAAGAATATTTAACCTGACTTGTTGTTTTAGCAACTTAACAAGGAGAGAAAAAAGATCAAGGGCAGGTTTGTTTTTAAAAGTTTGCAAGGGGTAAACTAAAGGTCAACAAAACATTGACCATGTTTTCTTTATTTTTCAATCATTATTGCAAAAACAAAGAGAAAGGAAAAGTGAAAAGCTCTCCGCCGGTCTCCGGGGTGAACAAATATTTTTTTAAAGAATTATGATTTTTTATTTTGACGCTAACCAGCTCTACTTTACTATAACAAATAGATTAGAAAACAAATTTGATATGTTAAAATATGGGATTTTATTGATTGCAGTTTGATCAAAACAGTTGTACGATTAAATTTATTCGTGCACTTGTGAATGTGATAAAAGGTTTAAATTCGGGGGGAGTTTTTCTGATGCATTTTTATGAATTTTTGTATAAATTTGACATCAATTTCTTAAGACAGGAACATCAGATGGAACTTTCATGGGTCGCGATCAAGAGCTGAAGGGATTAGCTTTCAGTCCATACCCCCTTTTATTTTTCCTTTACAGTCCTTTTCAATTTTACACAAAAAAAAAGTTTTTAATTAGATTTTTTTTAACTTTTAATGTAAATAACTTTTATGTTATGATGCAATTTTATCAAGGATATCCCAGTAAAAGCATTTTTTTTAATCTTAATCAAATCAAATGACTAAAGTCCAAAGTGCGAATATTAATAGCCTAGTTACAAGACTATGGCAGTGCTTGCCTAGGATGCTGCCAAAAAAAGGTTTTCATTGACATCTCATTCAAATAAAAACTGTTTTGTTTTTGAAAACGGGTGTCAATCGCTAAGTCCATGAAGATAATAGATAAATAAATAGATAGATAGATAGATAGATAGAGAAGTAGATAGATAGATAAATAGATAGATAGTTAGATAGATAGATAGAGAAGTAGATAGATAGAGAAGTAGATAGATAGATAATTAGATAGATAGTTAGATAGATAGGTAGAAAAGTGACGGACTAGAGAAATTCTAGTTTTTGCTCGTATATATCTTGACAAAGAACTCAACACAACACCCTAACCTTATATTTATAAACCTAGTAGTTACTTTATAGACCTAGTAGTTACTTTATAGACCTAGTAGTTACTTTAAAGACCTAGTAGTTACTTTATAGACCTAGTAGTTACATTATAGGCCTAGTAGTTACTTTATAGACCTAGTAGTTACTTTATAGACCTAGTAGTTACTTTATAGACCTAGTAGTTACTTTATAGACCTAGTGGTCACTTCATAGACCTAGTAGTTACTTTATAGACCTAGTAGTTACTTTATAGACCTAGTAGTTACTTTATAGACCTAGTAGTACCTTTATAGACCTAGTAGTACCTCTATTAGTACCTTTATAGACCTAGTAGTACCTTTATAGACCTAGTAGTACCTTTATAGACCTAGTAGTTACTTTATAAACCTAGTAACTTTATATATCTAGTAGTTACTCTATAGATCTAGCAGTAACTTTATAGACCTAGTAGTTCTTTTCTAGACCTAATAGTTACTTTATAGTACAGGGTGTCCCAAAAAACATGGGAATTCAGTGACCAATTCGATATCGTCGTTGTTAAAAATTAGCATTGTAATACCTAATTTCAAAAGCCATAATATAATCATGTCTGCTAGAGTTTCATTTATAAAAACGGTAAATGGCTGTAAAGATGTGTCAATAATGTATCCGCAAGATGAACAGTGAAGACGGACAAGTTTACTCTGTTTGTATACTGCATTTTTCTTGTTTTACTAAGTACAACCGTATGCAGTCAAAACATACAAACAAAATGTGAACATACAGAGCGTCCCATATCATTAGATTATCTCCAATCTTTAACGACAAAATAAACCCTTAATACTCGAAAAACTTATCATTTTCCGCAAGAAAATTCTTATATAAGCCTTATGTTATATTTCAAAATGATTAATTCTAACTAAATTTTCTGATTAGTCCCGAAAATCGTAATTTAGACCCGTTCTCGGTCTAATATGATGTGGGACACCCTGTAGCAGACGAAACTCACAGCTTTCTCAGTAGGTATCACTTTACTAAATCAAAGAATTATTTGAAAAGACGATATCGAATTCGTCACTGAATTCCCATGTTTATTGGGACACCCTGTATAAGCTATATATAAGTATAGCCCATAACTACTTAACTTAATAAATCTGGTTATTTTAAAGCCCTAACCCTAGCAACTATCAACTAGCTACTTCTTAGCTCTAAAACACCATCATTATTATAAACCTATGGATTTAAGGATTAACATCAAAATTTATTATCTCCAGAAAAAAACTTATTTATTCATTATCAGAGAAAAAATAACACAAAAAATCCTGGATAAAAATAGATACCATAACCGATAGATGGATAGATGGATAGATGTATGGATAGATAGATATCGAATTTAATCATTATTTATGAATAAATGAATGAATTAATGGTTGAAAAATAACATCTTTTTAACGTTTTATCAAGTTTGACTTGGTCAGCCTAAAAATAGGCATACCTGATTTTGGTATAAAATCAAAATCTTTCAACACTAACGATTAATTAAAAAATTTTAAAGAAAACTACGAAGGCTTTAAAAACATTTCCAACAAAATAAAAACGTGAATTCAAAAATATTAAAAACATCAACAGTAGATACATGATGGGTTTGTACTAACCCATAATTATGAAATATTTACAAAATTCTGGACATATGTTTTTACTTAAAAAAAAGGCTAAATAAAAAGGTGGTTTGCACCGAACCCCACCCTTCCACCCTTCAATTTTCCCTGTCAAAAGTTGGGAGTTTTTCATCACAATAAAAATTGTATTTTAGTAAATATAAGTAAATTCCAAAATACTGTTTCAACAAGACACAAATATCAAATCAATCTACTTATCTATTAAACCAGAATATATATACATATCTATATATATATATATATATATATATATCTACGATTACAATCTTTCCCACAATACCCGCATGTGCATACCCTCATTATATATTTTGAGGGATATTAACCCCAATAGTAGAATTAATTCTATTGCCCACTGAAACATTGTTTGTAATCAATGATATTAGAAAATAGGATATAAACTAAACAGTATTCAATCAGAATAAAAAGGATAGCATACACTCTAGTATGCCGAGTCCATTAGCATCTGATCCAATCAGGGTTCAGCCATGTGTTTGGTGTTTTATTTTGAACCAATAGAAATTGCATTGCGTTAACATTTATCCAATTAGAGATAAGTCCTTATATCGGCGCTATAACAGTAAATGGAAATATTTACTTCTACTGAAATTATGGTGCATATGTCAGTAATTAATGGCAATGAAAAGAATGAAATAAACAAGCAACCATAGATATTTAAAATAAGGATTATACCAGTAACCATTGATATTAAAAAGGATATATAACAATAACCAATTATATTGAAATGAAGGATAGATAACGAGAATCAATGATATTTTAAGGAAGGGGTAGCCAATGATGTTAATAAGAAAGATAGAAAAGTAACCAACTATATTAAAATAGAACAGTAACCAACTATATTAAAATAGAACAGTAACCAGCTTTATTAAAATAGAACAGTAACCAACTATATTAAAATTGAACAGTAACCAACTATATTAAAATAGAAAAGTAACCAACTATATTAAAATAGAACAGTAACCAACTATATTAAAATAGAACAGTAACCAACTATATTAAAATAGAACAGTAACCAACTATATTAAAATAGAACAGTAACCAGCTTTATTAAAATAGAACAGTAACCAACTATATTAAAATTGAACAGTAACCAACTATATTAAAATAGAAAAGTAACCAACTATATTAAAATTGAACAGTAACCAACTATATTAAAATAGAAAAGTAACCAACTATATTTAAATTGAACAGTAACCAACTATATTAAA